TCTATCTATCTATCTATCTATCTATCTATCTATCTATCTATCTATCTATCTATCTATCATTTCCCATCTTTATTATATTTAAAATTAGTTCAAGGTGTCGAATATATCCACCACCTCTTCCTTCTCCTATTTTTCCCCACAAAAACGATCCGGTGAGATGAACATTCAGATTAAAGTCTCCAAAATTTGGATCTCGTGCACCGCATACCGAATTACAATTGGATCAATCATCTTTCCATCTCATTAAATTACCCTTGCAAGGACAGAGCATCTTGACTGACAGGAGTGTCTGAAGACCGTGATGACAATGGTGCAATCAATCTCTCTTTCTCTCTCTCTTTTTAAAAAAAATTTGAGTGGCATGCTAGACTGTAGCGTGGCTAGGCTAGGCTAGGAATAAATGGAGGAGGAGAGCTGAGAAAAAAGTGAGTTATAGGAATCCATTCCTTGTCTTTGCACGCTGAGTGACGCAAGAAAGGTCGTAAAATCGGGTCAAACTCGCTTCACAAATGTCTTACCTAACAAGAGACATGTTGGCCTCAATTGAGGTCGTAAATTGAGATTGCTACCTAGTAATCTCTAGGCCCCCTTTGCTTCGAGACTCTGAATCTAATGGCCTTTTTGCTTTTCGGTTAGGGAATCGCTTCAAAAGAGAGCCGGCAGTCTACATCTTTCACAACCCAGAGGGGGAGCCGAAGAAACAAGGGGGTTCAAGAGAAAGGAAGCTCCCTCCCCTCACTTGCTTGCCATCCCACTCACCCAGGGGTGGGCTGCTAGGGGTTCGCAGAGGTTCGGGAGAACCTCTAGCTAAGATTCTGTGCAGTTCGGAGAACCCCCAAATCCCACTCCTGGCTGGCCCCACCCACCCTGCCCCTCCCCTCCCAGGAGTCCCCACACGGCTCGTTTTGGATATGTAGAGGCTCGGGGAGTATGAAAAATGGGCCTACTGGAAGTTTGGTAGGGCCTCCGGAGCCTGGGGAGGCCGTTTTCGCCCTCCTGGAGGCTTGACGAAAGCCTCTGGAGTCTGGGGAGGGTAAAAATACCCCCCCCACACACCGTGGTGCAGGAGGCCGGCTAGGCCACGCCCACCATGGCCACGCCCACTCAGCAACCGGGCAGAGAACCCCTTGCTAAATTTTTTGAAGCCCACCCCTGCACCCACCCTATGCACCAGAGGTGGGTTTCAGCAGGTTCTGACCAGTTCTGGAGAACCGGTAGCGGAAATTTTGAGTAGTTCGGAGAACCAGTAAATACCACCTCTGACTGGCCCCGCCCCCATCTATTCTCTGCCTCCCGAGTCCCAGCTGATCGGGAGGATTTTGCAGTAACGTCCCCTGCCAGGCCCACCAAGCCACGCCCACCAAGCCATGCCACGCCCACCAAGCCACACCCACAGCCGCCTCCTCTAGGCTTTTAAAAAAATATCTGATCATCAGACAACTCAGCTGGGATCGTCAGAGAGGCTTGTTAAAAATTGCTTTGAAAAGTCTCTCTGACGATCAGGCAACTCAGCTAGGATCATCAGAGAGACTTTTAAAGCATTTTTTTCTGCAACCTCTTCCAGGGAAGAGGTGGTTCAAAAAGTGCTTTGAAAAGGCTCTGACGATCCCAGCTGTGTTGCCTGATCGGCAGAGGCTTTTCAAAGCATTTTTTTTGCATTTGCAGAAAAAATGCTTTGAAAAGTTAGAAAGAAAAATAAAAGTTGACCACACTCAGCCAGTCACATTATTCCCTCCCCCACCAAGCCACGCCCACAGAACCGGTAGTAACAAATTTTACATTTCACCCCTGAGCTGAAATGTATGCAATGGGAGGGGGGCAAGCGAGAGTGCGGGTGGGGAAGCACCTTGATTGGAAATCAATCTCTGGCCCAGTGAAAAACAGGACTGCTGTTCCCTGCCGAGATCAAAATAGACAAGTGGACGGTTCCCAGCTCACCCACCCACCCACCCGCCACTTTCCACGGGACCACTTTGGAAGAAGCCCCGCAAGTGTGAAGTTTACATCTCAGCCTTGCGACGAAGAATCTCCTGCGGGAGGCGAGAGCGAAAGGTACCATCTGCCAAAGTTGTACGCACACAAGGGTTGCACATACAAGGCAGTCTTTGTTCAGCTGCAAAGTCTCGCTCGGCCCCGTAGAGACTGCCGGGGGCTGTTGCTTCTTTTTTGGCATATGTGGTGGGGGGGACCCTTCTGGCATGGACCACCGCCTGGCTGGGGGAGGTCAATCCCGCTCGGCTCTCCTCCTCCTCCTCCAATTCTCCCCTTCTCCCCCTCCCTGCAACTTAACCCACAACTCTTTGGTTGGGTTCAAGAGAACCTCTTGCAGAATGAGAGGCAAAGGGAAAAAATAAAAATGTCTTTTGCCTGTGGCAGGACCCCTTTGAGAAACTGGAGCAAATTTCCCTCTGAACTGGATTTGGGGAAGGGAGGTTGGGGGAGAGGCCTGTGGGAATAGCCAGGGCAGGAATTTGCCCAGACCTTTTATTTATTGAAAGGTCTAGGGAGATTCTCCATCATCCAGGTCACTCACGGCTGTCTCAAAAGTGCTTTTCCAAAAGGCAACTCAATTTTCTTAGTGATTGTAATTTTTTTCCCTTTGAAAACATTTCGCTTCCCGTCCAAGAAGCTTCTTTAGCTCAGTTCAGTTTTGTCTGTCTGTCTGTCTGTCTGGTCTCACCCACCGCGACTCTGGGCACGCCTACAAAACCTAACAACAAGGAGAACCCTAAAACACTCAAGCATAAATGAAAGAGAAAACAAGAAAAATCCAAGATTGCCAAGAGGGCAACTTTTCCCGGACTTCTTCAAGAGAAGGAGAAAGGCTGCAAAGATTTTTTTCAGTGGGCAGCTTCTTCCCGGACCGATGAAGGAGACACCAGTTTCCCTCCTGAAGCTTTCCTGCAAATTTGGCAGGAGGGGGGTAAAAGGGGGAGTGTGTGTGTGTTTGGGGGGAGTGGAGTACCAGGAAGGCAGGGGAGGGAATGAGCCAATGCCAGACAGGCTATTCATGCAGACTCCTAACTAGGAAACAGTGCAACAGTACAAAGGTTCACCCATGAGAATTTCTCCCTGGTTTATCTGAATTTTTACAGCAAGATACAGGTGTCCCCGATTTACGACTACAATTGAGCTCCAGATTGATGTTGCTAAGTGAGAAAGTTGTTTTGTCCCATTTTATGACTTTTCTTGGTCCGTTTGTTAAGCAAACCACTGCAGTTGTTCAATTAGTAACAGGATTGTTCAGCGAATCTGGCTTTCCAACTTCATTGTGGTTGCTCAGTTAGCGGCACGGTTGTTAAGTGAATCTGGGCTTCCCTATTCATTTTGCTCATCCGAAGGCCGCAGAAGGGGATCAGGTAACCCCGGGGATGCTAAAACTGTCATCAATATGAATCAGTTGGTCGAGCATTTGTATGTAAATCACCTGGCCATAGGGATGCAGCAGAGGTCGTAAGTGTGAGAAACGGTTCTAAGTCACTTTTTTCCATGCCATTGAAACTTTGAACGGTCACTAAATGGACTGTTATAAGTTGAGGACTACCTGTACAAGTTTGCACACTAAAACCCTTTAGTGAGTTCATGTATTCAGGTGCTGCACAATAAATTGTGCATGTGATGTGATGATTAGGGGACTGGAGATTAAAACATATGAAGAACGGTTGCAGGAACTGGGCATGGCTAGTCTAGTGAAGAGAAGGACCAGGGAAGACAGGATAGCATCTTCCAATATTTGAGGGGCTGCCACAGAGAGGAAGGGGTCAAGCTATTTTCCAAAGCATCCAACAAGGAATAATGGATGGAACTGACCAAGGAGAGATTTAACCTAGAAATGAGGAGGAATTTTCTGACAGTGAGAACAATCAACCCATGGAACAGACGTTGCCTTCAGAAGTTGTGGGAGCTTCATCACTGGAGGCTTCCAAGAAGAGACCGGACTGCCATCTGTCAAAAATAGTGTAGGGTCTCCTGCTTGGGCGGGGGGGTTGGACTAGATGACCTCCAAGGCCCCTTCCAACTCTGTTATTCTGTTAATCACTGGAGGCTTTTAAGAAGAGGCTGGACTTCCCTCTTTCAGAAATGATGTAGGGTCTTGCTTGGGCAGCGTGGGGGTGGGTGGGTTTGGGAGTTGGACTAGATGACCTCGAAGGTCCCTTTTTATTCTTGTTATTCTGTTTTGATAGGTTACAGAAACCACTCGGAAACCTCTTCTAAGGGGGGTCAGGACCCGAGCCACCCGGTCCTTCTCCCATTTCTTTCTTTCTTTCTTTCTTTCTTTCTTTCTTTCTTTCTTTCTTTCTTTCTTTCTTTCTTTCTTTCTTTCTTTCTTTCTTTTTTCTTTCTTTCTTTCTTCTTTCTTTCTCTTTTCTTTTTTTTGCATTCCCTTTGCATGGAAAGGGCCGCTTTAAGAGGCCGGAGGAGACCCCCCCCCCAGGTTCTGGCTAGGCAAGATTTGCAGGCAGCCCTTCGCTCTCGCCTTCCAAAGCTGGCGCGCCTGGCATATCCAAGCTTGGCACAGCCTCGTTTCCTGCCTTTGGCGCGATTGGTTGGCACCCATCTCCGCCTTAGCCGGGCAGGCGGGACCCTCGCCTTGTGGGTTAGACACGCCGAGCCCAGCACGGAAGCTCATTGGAAGGCCGGAGGGTTGATTGACGTCTGGGGCTGTTTGCAGGGAAGAGAAACGGGGGCGGAGTGTGTGCGTGTATGGGAAGGCATTCCTACAAGGCTTAGTAGCTGCCGAAGTTCCTTGCGCCACCGGGCGCTCCAGTTTGCCTTTTCCCTTTGTATATATAGCTATATAGATATATATTTGACTGCTGCTCCGTTTTCTCTGTGTGCTCTTCTGCTGATCCCGTTTTCTTCTCTCCTTCCTTGCCTCCTCTTCCTCCTCCTCTCCTCCTCCTCCCCCCACTGCTCCCTTCTCCTTCTCCTTCTCCCTCTCCCTCCGCCCCGTCTTCTCCTTCTCCTCCTCCTCCTTGGAAACCACTCTTCTTTAATAGGGAGAGCCTAGTGGTTAGATCTGCAGCTGGATGGATGGTTATGGGGAAAGGGGCAAGCGCGCAAGCCCTCGGACTGACCCACTTCTTCTCCTCTTGGCTCTCCATCATCTTCCCCGCAGGTAAGGAGCGCCGGTTCTCTCTTCCCCCATCTAACTAACCCCCGTCCCCTTTTGTTTGTCTGCTTTTGGGTATGTGTTTAAATCTTGGAAACTTTCCTTGGGGGAAAAAAGGGGGGTGTCTTTTGCAAAAACCCTGCCCCCTCACCCCTCTCCAAGCCCCCCGTCCTTCGGCCTTTTGGCTCCCTCCTAGAAAGCATCGGAGAGAGCCGGGTGGCTTTTTAAACCCAGCCCGGATTTCCCCCTCCATCCGGGCCGATTGCTTTTTTAAAAATAATAATAATAATAATCAACATTTTAAAAAAATGCCTCCCGTATAGTATTCCTTCGCTCGGCCTTTGTCTCTCGCCTAAAACGGAGTTCCCCCTTCAAGGCTCTCTTGCGAGACGCAGAGAGAGCCCACAAGCCAAAAAGTCGATTTTGAAGAGTTTGGAAAGGACCCTTCTGGATGGTGGGTTGAAGCTTAACTGCGGTGGGGTGAGGGATGGTCTCCTTCCAACCTCCCCCCCCCCTTGGTCCTGCCTTTACAAATTTGGGGTGGGGGAAACAAAGCCACGGGCTGATGGGGCTTCCTAAAAATCGCTTTTGCACGGTTCCCACTGCCGTTGGAGCATTTAATGCGGATTAAGAAGTTTAGGCTTTCTTTTCCCGGTGGGTAAATTCGGAGTGGTAGTTTTTGAGACCTCCCGAATCCTTCCACGATTTCTGGACCCTTGCGGGGGGGGGGTTGATCTATGATCTATCCCAGTGGTTCTCAACCTTCCTAATGCTGCGACCCTTTAATACAGTTCCTCCTGTTGTGTTGACCCCCCAACCATAAAATTATTCCTAAAACCATTGAAAATATGTGTTTTCCGATGGTCTTAGGCGACCCCTGTGAAAGGGTCATTCGACCCCCAAAGGGGTCCCGACCCACAGGTTGAGAACCACTGATTCTATCCGAAAGATCCCTCTTCCTCGGAGAATCTGCTGCTCCTTTCAGATCTCTTCCTTAGCAGGGTCCCTGATATGTTCCCCCGGCCCCGAAAACTCCATCGGAGACCCCACCCCTCCACCTCGCCGTTTAAATCGAGGGTTTTTAACGACCAAGCCCTTCTAACCTGGGGTCCTTTTCAGAAGTCGCAGTGGGGGGGGCCGCCCTCCCCGCACCCCCGGTTTCTTCCCTGCTCATCGTTTACGAGAGATCCCCGGTTAAGCCTCCTCCGAGGTTGTTTATGAGAGTTTTGCAAAAAAAACAAAAAGGAACCAGGCGGAAATCACTGCACGCGCCCGTCGCTTTTATTTTGAATTTGATTCAGGCTTGGCATCTCGGAAAGAAATTGACGATTTTATTTTATTTTATTGCATTGTATTTGGGGTGGGGGGTGGCGTGGGGGAAGAAGATGGCGCCGTGGACCTGACAGCAGAAATCACTTGCTCCGTTTGGATGCTATTTTAATTGTTTCTCGCAACTTTTGGGGGGTGGGGGGGGGGGGTGGGAGAAGACGGGAATGAAACAGAAAGGAATGGACATTTGGACACCCGCTTTTTTTGGGGGGGTGGGGGCTGTTGGTGGCGGAAAGAAATGTGTGGAAGACTTTCCCGGCTGGAACCTGCTCTTGTGCTGTGAAGCGCTTGTTTCGGTGCTTTTAAGCTACGTTGCCAGATGTTGATCTATGTGTAATAATATTTCAAAGGCCGAAGAAGGAGGACAGCTGTTGGGGGGAAAAAAATAATACAGGCGCCGGGAATGTTTTGATCTCTTCTTGATTCCCCCTTCCTCGCATCTCCCCCCACCCCACTTGCCTCGTTCTTGTTTATTTGCGAGCTTTCCTTCGCTTAGTAGCAGACGGATATTTGATTTCCAGAACCCCTGCTTTCTCTCTCTCCTCCTCCTCCTCTTCCTCCTCCTCCTTCTTCTCTTTTGTCTCTTCTCTGCCTCCTCCTCTTCTCTTCTTTTCCTTCTCCTTCTTCTTCTTCTTCTTCTTCTTCCTCCTCTTCCTCCTCCTCCCTTCTTCTTCTTCTTCTTCTTCTCCTCCTCCTTCTCCTTCTCTTTCTTCTTCTGCTCTTCCTTCTTTCTTCTTCCCTTTTGCCTCTCTTCTTCTTCTCCTCCTCCTCCTTTCACTTTCTTCTTCTCTTTCTTCTACTCTTCTTCTTTCTTCTCCTTCTCTTCCTTTCTCTCTTCTCCTTCTCCTCTTCTTTCTCCTTCCCCTTCTTCTTCTTCTCTTCCTCCTCTTCTTCACCCCCCCCCACCACCCTCAGTTTGTTTTTACAAAGTTCGGGAAAGGAGTGAATTTTCAGCATCGCAGCTGAAAAACGCCATCTGTTTCCAATGAATTCCCCCACTGCTTTTTCACAGCGTTTCTGGCAGATCCTGCTTTGCAAATTCCTGCATGCTTGTTTTCGTTGGGGGAGGGGAGCGTAACTTCACACTGGCGGAGTTGTTCCCTTCCAAAACTCTCCAATTTCTCGTGGCCGCTGGGCTTGCTTCCCCACCCCCCTCCTCCCCACCGTTTACTCCAGGCGATGGGGAGGTGGGGGACACACACAGGAGAAAGGGGTAATGCGCGAGGGGTAATTTGTCTGCTGATACAGGCTGCCGAGTAATTTTTATTTATTTATTTATTTATTTATTTTGCAAAACCTCCCCTTTGCGGAGGTAAGAAATGATGACTGCCAGGGAAGCATTTTTTTTTTTTATTAGAAACAAAGACCATCCAGTTTATTAGCACCTGTGTGTATGTCTTGCTTGAGTGTGCAGACAAAATAATAATAATCATCCTCATCGCTGGGAACACCAAGTTGACAAAAGTTCTTGCAAATGAAAAGTGGGACTTTCAGATCCAAACAGATAGACAACTGGCCCGCAATACGCCTGGCATCGCTATTGTAGAAAAAAAGAAAAGAAAAAAGAAAAGAAAAGAAAAGAAAGAAAAGAAAAAGTCTGGTCCATTGATATTGCAATAACACCAGGGGATGCACGGATGGAAGAGAAACAGCTAGAAAAAAACAAATGAAATATCTGTGATTTGCCAATTGAAGTTGAGTGATTGTGAAGGAAGAAGTCATGGGTGTACCAATAGTAATAATAGGTGCCCTTGGAGCAATACCCAAAGGGCTGCCTAGATACATGGACATTTTGAATTTATTAGACCTGAATATTCTGACTTTGCACAAAAAAAAAAAAATAATCTTACTTGGAATGGCCTGTATAATCAGACACTACCTTAACAGCTCTTAGGCCCTTGGTTAGGATTTGAACTGTGAAGTTTTAACCAGTTCCAGACTACAAATCGAATTGAAGAGTAAATCTTAATAATAATAATAACAACAACAATCTCCTGGCTTATTCTGAGTCTTTGGGAAGGACTTGATAGGTGGATAAAAAATGCCAACTCCTGTTTTGAACATCTGGCTGACTTAGCCACGAACGATAATCGCTCCCCTCCCCACCACCATTGTTTCTTAACTTTCACACTTTGCTATAATTCTCATGGAATGGGTAACAGGACCAATCATCCTTTAGGAAATAGCCGTAGTCTTGTGTTCCTTAAACGGCCCATCTCCGTCTATGGGAAGGTGCTATGGAGTCCAAGCAAATCCAAAATTCTTTGAGGGGGTCCTTGGTGCTCTCGGAGTTTGGTGGTTGTTTGTTGTTGTTTGAAGACGTTTCATTACCCTAACTAGTAACATCATCAATGCTAGTGACGATAAGTGATGAGGTTACCTAGTTTGGGTGATGAAACATCTGCAAGAAACCCAACCAAGCTCGGGAGAACAGCCAGGACCTTTTCATTCCCACCCTCAGCCACAGATATTCTCCTTTATTGGTACAAAATTCTTTCCTGGTGAAAACTCACATCATGTTCCAAATCGCCCTGCAAGAAGGAACTTGATTTTTCGATCCAGGGTGTGTTTGTGCATCTATTTCCTTCTTCTCAGCCTCAGCAGCACCAAATAGGAATGAATAATAAAAGAGGTTAGGGTGGAGGTGGGGAACTTACAAAGTATTCTTTTGACTTGATAGGGTTGTTGTTTTTTTTATGGGGAGGAAGGGAAAGGATCAACAAAGAAATCTTAAGTCTCCTGTAGAGGTTTTGTAGACCTTGGTTGGTTGGGTTCAAATTCTCCCCGATTCAACTTGGTTGTACAGTCGTGGCCAAAATTGTGGAAACCTTTTGGGAAAAGTGTATTTTCTAAAAGTAGCTAACACCACCACTTTTTTGGGGAGTAGTACCATAAAATTATATATCAATGGAAAGATAATTTAATCAAGAATGTAATGCAATAACTTTTAGGAAGGATTTGCTATTAGAATAGCAGTTACAGTATAAAGAAGAAAAGTGAAACACGTAGAAAAAACGAGATATACAAAAATTATCACCATGTCAGTTAATACTTAGTTGGGTAACCTTTAGCATGAATTACGGCCTTACGACGTCTTCCCATGGAGTGAACCAAGTCTTTGAGTTCTGCAGCTGTTATCATGTGAAACCAAGATTGAACGATGGCTTCTATTAACTGGGTTTTATTGCTGGGTCACTTCTGACTAACAAGTTTCTTTAGTCGGCTCCATAGATTTTCAATTGGGTGAAGGTCTGGGCTATTCCCAGGCCATTCCAGCAGTCGAATAGGATTATCTTGAAACTCCCCCCCAAAAAGTGGTGTTATTAGCCATCAAACCTCAAAAATACACTTTTCCCAAAAGGTTTCCACAATATTGGCCACTACTGTAATCTCTTTTGGAGAGCAGGTAACTAAAAGGGTCTTTCTGTTAATTAAAGGGGGTTTTCTGGCAATGGATATATTTGTGCCTTTGTTTCTCCTGCTAGGTCCAAACTACCTTTGCTGGTATGGTATTTTTCCTGAGGTTAATGGCCCTCTTCATTCGCTTCAGATAACTAAGACCCGTGAAGATTTTTTTTTCAAGGTCTTCCTAGACCTCTTCATTACTTTTATAAAGTTATTTTATCTCTGTTTAAAGTCTGGGAAGCCTGCAGCCTTCAACACATCTTGTGGCAGCT